CCACTTATCTCACTTTACTACTAGGGTCCCAATATTTGAAAGTAAGTTCAAATTTGCTCCATTTGTGTGTATGGAGATGTAAGATCCACCAGATTTATGAACCTGTCCCATTCAAGGCAAAAAGATAGCTAAATTCAAGGATTTTTATATCACATATTTTGTATGATATTTACCCAGAGATTCGCTTTTAAGGTAATGGATTAGTTTTTTTTAATTTTTATAAAGACTCCTAGGGGCACCTGGGTGGCTCAGTCGTTAAGCGTCTGCCTTCGGCTCAGGTCATGATCCCAGGGTCCTGGGATCGAGCCCCGCATCATTGGGCTCCCTGCTCAGCGGGAAGCCTGCTTCTCCTTCTCCCACTCCCCCTGCTTGTGTTCCCTCTCTGGCTATATCTCTCTCTGTCTGCATCGGGCTCCCTGCTCAGCAGGAGGCCTGCTTCTCCTTCTCCCACTCCCCTTGCTTGTGGTTCCCTCTCTTGCTGTGTCTCTGTCAAATAAATAAATAAAATCTTAAAAAAAAAAAAAAGACTCAAAATTATTATACAGTAAAACTAAATTTTTTTTGGTTTACAGTTCTATGAACTTTAACACATGTATAAATTTCAAATCATCACCACCATAATCAAGATACAGAATGGTTCCATCACTCCCCAAAACTCCCTCATGCTATCATCCACTTAAACTCACCTTCCCCTCATCCAATCTCTAGCAATTGCCCATCTATTATAATTTTACCTCTATAATTTTACCTTCTGAGAATGCAGAATGTTTTAAGTCTAGATGTACATGCTAAAAAATGTATTACAGTCTATTTAAAAGTAACTGGTCTATCTAGAAATGGGTCAATTAGTCCTGGCCACATTCTAAATAGCATTTCTGGTCACGCAAAATATATTGAGTCCTGCTTCAGAAAGCACGACAAAGAAATTTGTCACTAAGTAAGAATTAATTGGTCCTGCTCTCTTCCTAGTTCTAAGAATATCTTACAAATACTGTTTTAACTATATTCATTGCCAGTTTGATTAGCTTTTCTTTCACCATCAGTTTTTTTCAAAATACTTTTTTCTCATTGACTCTTATATGTTCATGCCTATCTATATGACAAACTAATTCTTAAGCTCTAATATGTTTAGCGCTCTTCTCCAGTATCAAATCTAACCTGCCCCAACCCAAATACCCTGGTCCTTATCCCAATCACTTCTTCTATTCATTATTGTTATTACTGCTTCTAGAGGAGTAGGCCTCAATTACCAGTTCACAGATTGGATCTAGACTAAAGACATATTTCATGAGTCTAATAAATGTTTTTAAAATTATAAAATAAACAGAGAAGGAAGCTTTAGCTTCTCTTGAATACCGATAAGATTCAGCAATCCTAAGATCCCACTGCCACAAGACAACAATTTATTGAAAATTGAAGCTCCCCACCTTCAGATGGGCATGAGTTTTTCAGGTCACTACTGTCCCCTCCAAACCCTACAGTCCTGTACCAACTCACTTGATTCATTTACACTGTCCACCTACCCATTCCATCACTTTGGTTTGCAAAGTACCATTATAAATTCCTTTGGAGCAGAGAATTCTCAAATTTTAACACCTATCACATGGCTAGCACCAAACAGGCACTGAGTGATTAAATGCCACAGGTCACTTAAAAAACAAAACAAATTTTTTTTTGTCATTTCTATGCCATTAGGCATTCCAGAAGTGGGCTGATGTTTTTAGACATCAGCAGTTAGAGTGCTACTTTTCTCTGGTAGAAAAGCCCAATCAGCACAAATTATATTTAGGTTTCAAGGTTTTCCCTGAGGTTTTTCCTAGTTTCCTACCAACTGTTAGAAAGACACCAGTAGGTCTTTTGTAAAATAAAGTGTGGATACTCTTTGCTTTATGCCATTTTAGCTTACAAGTTTTCTAAGAATGATCTACATTCAGATAGTGGGGGAAATCCTGTATCTCTACCTCCAACTAGGCAGCTGACCTCAGTTTCTTCATCTGTAAGAATGAACTGAGATGGTTGGGGCACTTGGGTGGCTCAGTTGGTTGGGTGTCCGACTCTTGATTTGGCTTGGGTTATGATCTTGGGGTCATCGGATCAAGCCCCATGATAGGCTTCACACTCAGTGGGTAATCTGCTTGAGATTCTCTCTCTCCCTCTCCCTCTGCCCCCCTCCCCCAGCCTGTGTGTGTGCACCCTCGCTCGCTCTCTCTAAATAAATAAATAAAATCTTTAAAAAAGAAAAGAATGAATTGAGATGGTAACTAGACTTACTGTGGTGACCACTTTGTATTGTACACAAAAACTGAATTATGTTGTACACCTGAAACTAATACTGTTATATACCAATTTTACCTCAATTAAAAAAAAAAATCAGCTCCCAAAAATACAAATCAGAATCTAAATTATAAAAAAAAAAGAAGGAATATATTATCTTTCCAAGTCATAAAACTATGTTCTAATATCTGTGTTCTTCTGGGTTACTTTCATCATCTCTTACAGCTCAAAAGGTTGTCTCTTTTTGCTCCTAAAGATCCTTGAAAACCAAAGGGGGCAGGACAGAAAAAGCTCCCTTCTGAGTTCAGGACTGCCTTGGATCCCTGAAGCACCAAAAAGCCAATCTCAGCACAATCAAGGTTTTGTTTCTAAGGGATTTTTCCCATCTTATCCTTCATGTTCTAAATTTATTATTTAGATTACTGCTTTGTAAATGGCAAAAACTGTCTTTTCTCAATATATTCCATTTCTATTTATCTGTAACTCAAAACAAAGTATTAATCAGAGAATATATTTTACAATTCTAAAATACGTCATAATTCATATTTATAATTCATAATTAGGCTTTTAATTTTCTGATTTTCTAAACATCTGCCTCAGTGTTTTGGCTCTTTTGTTACCTAAGCAATTTTATTTCATCATTCTTTCTTTGCTCTTAAAATTCCTAAAAACCGCTGTTTTTTTTCTTTCTTTTTTTTTGTTATACTGCTACTAAGTTCCAGAAAGATCGAAGCTATAAATATGATATGTACAATCATAAAGAAGAGAATGAAAACTCTTCAACTCTTAACTTACTAAAATGTTTGAACTAAAAACTACACACAGAAAAAATTAAATACTAAGCTATTTTTACAATTTCCTATAAACAAAGTTCAAATTCCACAGAACAAACAGCTATTCAAAATAACAAATCAGTGTAAATAAAAATCCAATGCGGCACAATTTTGATCTTCCCATTGGGGAACAGTTGTGGCTAAGAAAGGATATAATTAACATGGCTCCTGAATGCATAATGGCATTCTGTGGAATGATGTTTTATCAATCACTCCTGTACTTAGAGAAAGCTCTAATTTACCTAGTTAGTAATTTAGTTTCCACAACCTCTTAAATCTTGACATCTCTTCTGAGGCTTTCCCATGTTAAGTAATACACCATTTCATTAGTCCTTCCTGCTGACATGAACAGTTCCAGTACAAAATGAAAAAATGCATAAAAAGCAATGAGGTGCTAATACGATGCATTCACAAAATATTTCTAGGCAGAGAACTATCCATAGAGCAGGAGTGGGACCCCAGAACACTTCAAGACCAATCTGTTTAAATGCAAAGCAGTATCTCTCAACCATTTTCGGCCCCAACCCAATTAAGGAAAAGTATAATTATCATTTCATCAGTAATAGTAGCTCACTAGCAGTTTGAGGAGGTAGAAAAGGGGATCTCTTACAGGGCGTAGGGGTATGGAGGAGGTAAGATTCAAGAGATGAGTAGTGCAGTTGTGAATCCCTCCATCCTCCACACTCCCCAAATATTATTATATAATCCTTATACTTCCCTCACTACACAACTACCCCTGACATTTACTCTGTCTGGAATCCCCAAGCTAGTACTGGGAAGATGGGAGAAAGTTGAACTGCTTACATTTCAAGAGAATCACTTAAATTCATCATCATTATCAAAATGAAGATTCTACCATTTTCCTCATGTTGGTTATTCCTGATATTGCTAATTTTACTTGTTTCCTAATTGTTAGGAAAGCTTAAAAAAACAAAAACTCAGAAAACCTTCCAAGGACATGTATTTTACTTATTCAGAAAAAGGGGAAATTTTATAGAACTTACACAAAATTGCTTACCAGATAAACTTCAAACTCTTTCTCACAGCAATTCAAGAAAATCTTACTAATTGGGTCACAACTTTTCTTTCATCACTATTTCCCAAACCGGGTCCCCACATTACTGCTTCAGGCACTCTGAACACGGTAGGTACTGTCCTGCACCTTTTTGTACTTTGCAGCTTCAGTGCACTTTCACCTGGTGTTGTGCTTTCTGGAATTCCACTTACCCACTTCATGGAATTTTATAATTCAGCAAGGTCAAATGTTATCTGCAGTGTGAAGCCTGACTCTCACAAACTAACAACCCTGAGCTCCCCATAAATGTTCATTTCTCCCATTACTTGTGGGTTGGACTCTGCTTTATTCATAGAAGGCCCTTAGAACTCTGTCACTCGGCCAACTCATTAATGCTGAATAAATTAACCCTATTCTATTCACCAGAAGGCTAGGACTCTTGGTATATCAGCAGAGGCAGAAATGAACCAGAAAGCATGGAACTAGAAATCTCAATCCAGTAAAAGGAAAATGTAAGCCACAGGATTCAGGTTGGATTCATTGCTTCACACTAGTCAGACTTTTAAAAAATGTGCATCTGTGTATTAAGCAAATATCAACAGCTCCCTAGACTGAGAGTTTTGTTTGCCATTACACAACAATGTAATCCGATGAGCTGCCTCTCCCTGCTCATTGCAGGGTACTCATCAATTATGCGTGCTCTCCTGTACTCATTCTGGCTGAAGCTCATTTTAGCAGAAAACTTAACCTCGGATAATCTCCCTCAAAATAATTTCCAGCAAATTAAATTATGAGATTGCCTCCAACGTCACGCACTCTGTCAAAAGGATTCATAAACGTAAAATAAACCTAACCGCATAATAGTTTAAATACACTACCTGAGAGAGTAACGATTCCCCTGGGTTGAGGCTGAAACCGCAAATATTTGTTACAAAAGTCCGCAGATTCAAGGGCCAAAAACAAAACATTGCCCAAAAAGTAGCCCGCTGTCTGGCCCACCGAATTGCAAGTAGAAGCATAACCCACGTTTTCCCGGGATAACATTGTTAACGCCCAACCATCCACAGCGATGTCCTGAGTGGCGGCCAGGAATTCAAACAAAAAGAATGTCACAGTGAGAGCAATCACATCGGGGGTTCTACCATCAGTGTTCCCGAGCAATCGGTCCACTTGAGTGGATAAATATATCATGAACAGTCCCAGTATGTACTGTGTAGGGACAAGCCAAGATTTGCGACGACCAAAGTTCCTAAAGTAAACTGCATCAACCAACGGGGCCCAGAGCAATTTGAGACTGAAGGGCCAAAAGACGAAACTGAAGAAAGCTTGATCTGTATAGCTAACATTTTTGCTCTGCAAAATGAGAGGGATGCTTCCCGCCAGGCCCAGTGGAATGCCCTGAAGCACGTAAAGAAAAAGCAACAGCAGAATGCTGCTTAATTCGGCCCGGCAACTCCGTGGGGCTTTTGAGAAGTCACCAGTGCCGGTATCCCGCAGAGCTTCTTTGTCCCCTTCCCCGCCCACCAATTCCTGGTGACTGTCATCCCAGCCGCCTGGCGGCAGAGGACCGCTCTTCATATCCAGAGAGTGGTTGAAAGTCCCTGGTCGTCGTTGCCGACTGTTGTCCTTGTGGGAGATGGTGGGTGACATATCAGAGACGATGCAGAGCCCCGTCTGTGGAGTGCCGGGGCTGAGCGTCTTGGATCCGCCTAGTCCCAGGTCCAAGGCTATCGCTCTGGACCAGGGTCTCGATGGTTCAGGGAGGAGGAGGACAGGGCGAGGGGTGATAAGGGCACTTCTTACAGTGGCCCGGAGAGCTGAAGCCGGGAGTCAGTCCCCTGGCTGGAGGCCCAGGCGATGCCCAGATAGGCGCCTCTTGGAGCTGCGTCAAGGAGCCTGAAAGAGCCCCCCGGGCAGCCGCGCCGGGCTCGGGGCTGGAGGAGAGGGCCGTGGTGCTACGATGGAAACGGGTCCTTGGCTGCGGCGAGACCGAACGGCCAGTCTCCCGACCCACCTCCAGTTCTCGCCGCCACCACTGCAGCAGACAGCACTTTCTCCACAGGACTCCAGAGAGACCAGATAACTTCCTGCCTCGCGCCTCAGTGTTCTCAGGAAGTGGTCCTAGACTCAAATGAGTCCTGTCCCCGCCTCCAGGGCAAGCCAATCAGGGCATGCTTCCGAGGCCGAGTTCCGAAACCACGCTTGGTAGGAACCCGCTACTCCCGCGACCCGGACCTCATGGGAGGATTAAAGCGGAAGCACCGTACGGCCTGGGCGGGGCGCCGCGCGAGCTCCGACTCTATGAGCGCATGCGGCCGTCTGGAAAGCGTGGGCCTCGGTGATTGGGCCCGCGCGGCCACGTGAGGGCTGGTTGAGGCAGGCCTGCGCAGGTGGTCGAGTGAGCACACCGTCGAGCTTCTGAAGGTGGGGGCTGCCGTGCTTAGCGCTGGTCGCTAGCCTGGGATAGGGCAATGCCCAAACTCGGGGCCGGGAATTGTGTGATGCCCCTGCTTGCGTGGGCCAGACAGAAACGGGGAGGAGAAGGGTTGAAGTTTACGCAACGTCTTTATCAGCAGGCAAGGGTGCCCCCAAAAGGGTAGGAAGAGACCTGGTTAAATGGAGAAATACGTGTCTCAACAGTGCCTGCTTTTTTATGGCATGATTGAAACTGCTCAGAGGTGCTAGATTTCTCTGTAGTCCGTGTTTTCCAGTGTGGTGGAAGAAATGTAGTGGAACTGGGATCTGGGTAACTAACTCGTTACATTGGGTCGATTGGAATCATAAGATTCCTCCCCTCCCTCTTACTGTTGATAAAAGGTCTTGTAAGAGCCAAATATTAAAGTTTTGTTTCATGTTAACTCGATATATATGCAGTATTGAAATGATAAGAGAAAATAACCTTGGGGAACCAATAGCATTAATTGTATAGGAAATACCTATAAAGTTTTATATATAATGTTTATTTATATTACATACTATTTTCCATTGGATAACGAATACTGAAAACAACATATGCTTGAAAGTTAAACATACCAAACCTCACACCATTTAAAAGATAAAACATGTTATTGCTGGCCTCTCCCAAATAGTCAAATGTTGCAATAACTTCTCCATCTCAAAATTTAAGAAGGAAAAGGTTGGTTTCCTGAAGATGGACATTAAAATTTGAATACAAAAAGTTACACATTTATGGGGCACCTGGGTAGGTGAGTGGTTTAGCACCCAACTCTTGATTCCTGCTGTGGTCATGATCTCAGGGTAGTGAGATCAAGTCCCCTGTGGGGCTCCACAGTCAGTGGGGGGGTCTGCTCAAGATTCTCTCCCTCTCCCTCTCCTCCCCTACTGGTGTGCACACTGTCTCAAATAAATAAATCTCGAAAAAAGTTACACATTAGTTAATTCTCTTTCTTTCTCTTTCTTTCTTTCTTTCTTTCTTTCTTTCTTTCTTTCTTTCTTTCTTTCTTTCTTTCTTTTTGAGAGAGAGCAAGTGGTGGGGAGGGGCAGAGAGAGAGAATTTTAAGCTGGCTCAAGGCCAGCAGGGCTTGATTTCATGACCCTGAGATCATGACCTGAGCTGAAATTAAGAATCTGGTGCTTAACTGACTGAGCCACCCCGATGGCCTGAAACTTCATTCTTTAAAGAATGGCTTCAAAGTCCACAAACTTGCTGAAATGTTTTTTTAAAGTACATAGGCATGGTAAGTTTTAGTAAATACTTGTTGAATGATGTATTATATATTAGAAAGTTTACTACTGAGCTATGTAAGTGGGAATTATTTTTATTTCAAAACTCATTACAAATTATTCATACTGTCTCATCCACTTAAATATTGTAAAATAGATTTTTCTGTATTATTTATCTTGTCCTAGTATCTTTGGGTTAGTCACGATTAAATTCTATTCCATTTTTATATAATTAGAGAATTAGAGAAGAAAAATAAGTTCCATTATTTTTGTAAATAGGATGTATTGGCAAACTGAATCTTTGCTTGTCCAAATGTTGTTGTTGACTTACAGCTTTCATTTTTACTATTATTTTTTTAAGATTTTATTTATTTATTTGAGAGAGAGAAAGAGATAGAGAGAGAGAGCATGAGAGAGGGGAGGGTCAGAGGGAGAAGCAGACTCCCTGCTGAGCAGGGAGCCCGATGCGGGACTCGATCCTGGGACTCCAGGATCGTGACCTGAGCCGAAGGCAGTCGCTTAACCAACTGAGCCACCCAGGTGCCCCTCATTTTTACTATTAAGTTTTCATCAGATTTTATTTATTTGTAAGTAGCTTGTTCTGTCTGGTGTTTGTAAGGTTTTTTTTTTTCCTCTAACTTCTAGATATGTCCTTATTTTTTAAAATCTTAATCCTTCTTGGGTATATTTATCATCTATTGTTGGGTTACATATTATTCCAAATTTTAGCACCTTAAAACAATGATCATTTTATCTCATAATTGCTACTGGTTAGCTGGATGGTTCTGGCTAAGTATCTCCAATGAGGTTGCAGTAAAGATGTGAGCTGGGGCTTTAGTCATCTGAATGCTTGGCTGGAGCTGGAGGATCCACTTCCAACATGGCTCAATCACATGGATGTTGGCAGGAGGCCTCAGTTCCTTGTTATGTGAGTCTCTGTAGAGCTGCTTAGGTGTCTTTCTGAAATGGCAACTGGCTTCCCTCAGAGCAAGTGATTTATGGGAAAGAACAAGGAAGAAGTTACAATGCTTTTAAGACACAGTGTCAAGAGTCACATACTTCATCATATTCTATCAATCACAAGCAAGTCACTAAGCCCATCATACCCTCAAGGGAAGGAGAATAAAGTTTTACTTCTTGAAGGGAGGAATATCAAAGAACTTGTAGATATACTTTAAAATTGTCATACTGGGAATCAGTGAATTATTTCAATCTGAATATAAAAATCTTTTCTCAAGGTCAGGGAAGTATTCTATTATTTTAAGAATTACATGTAATTTTTATTTCTATATGCAGATTTTAAAGGGTTTTTAAATTGAGAAGTTCTCATGAAGGAAATAGTGCAGCTCTGGTGGAGGTGCCAATGGAAGGGTATTGGTGTATTATAAATCACATATATGTACCACACCAACCATGACTGTACTTTGGTCATCCTGCCTTTCCGATATTCAAAACAAACCTCAGTAACTCATCATTTTTTTTTAAAGATTTTATTTATTTATTTGAGAGAGAGAATGAGATAGAGAGAGAGCATGAGAAGGGGGAGGGTCAGAAGGAGAAGCAGACTCCCTGCTGAGCAGGGAGCCCGATGTGGGACTTGATCCCAGGACTCCAGGATCATGACCTGAGCCGAAGGCAGTCGCTTAACCAACTGAGCCACCCAGGCGCCCCAGTAACTCATCATTTTTAAAAGCCCAGTTAACTTACCAGGAGTCCAGGACACAGGAGTCAACACTGGCTAAAAGTTTCTAAACTAAAACTTGTGATCATACTGACTATGACACAACTAAGAAAATCAACAGACTAATAAAAATTTGTTATCTAAAATCACTCAAAATAAAACAATTGCCCTTGACTTTTTACAGGCCAGACAAGAGAGTCCATACACTAGCTAATATATCTTGTACCCATCAAAAAAAGGTGAAACAATTAGTCAATTTTTTAAAAGGCCATTTGGTTAAAGTTGATCAAATTGATCCTTGATATTTATTCTCAAGTTAGGTGCAGAATGACTAAAAAATTAAATACAAGATAGTTTCCAAATGTCTCATGATATTTATGATTGTCTTCATTCTTTATGCCTTTCCCCATCATCTGCCAGAGTTTTGTTTTTGATTTTGTTTTTGTTTTTTTTAAGTAAGCTTTACACCCAACATGGGGCTTGAACTTAGAACTCTGAGATCAAGAGTTGCATGCTCTACCGACTGAGCTAGTTAGGTGCCCCATGCCAGACATGTAAATATTGCTACATGTCTACCCAGAGCTGACATTCAAAAAGAGACCATCTCCTTTTCAGTCAAGTGCTCTCCTATCCTATTTTGACCAAAAGGAGGTTGGAGGTGAGGGACGGGTCAGGAAATTCTGATATGGAATATGGGGTAATCTTGGTTTAACTAACGTGTAAGTAACAATGTAATGCTGGTCATACATAATATATTCTCCATATTTAAACTCTCAAGGCTTTCTGGAGGATCCATAAATAACTGAAATTGATTTCCTTAAACCTGATGTGGCAGTTTTAAAACATAGCTTCCAAAGTCTTTATCACTTTATCACTTCTCCCTTTGAGAGGTGGAGACTGTGTCCCTTCCCTGGAATCTAGGCTCTCCCACTGACCAACAGAATACAGCTGAGATGATGCTGAACTAATTTCCAGGTCCAGGTCTTAAGAATCTGGCAGTTTCCACTTACTGTCTCTTGAGACAATCTCTTTTGGAACTGAGTACTATGCACTAAGGGTAGAACTATTTGGAAAGGAACTAAGGCCCATGGCTCTCATTGCTGGCTGAGCTGCCAGTCAGCAGCACCAACTTGGTTGCCCTGTGTGAGCTACATTGGAAGTGAATCCTCCAGTCGCAAGTTAAGCTCTGCTTGCTGATGCCACATGGAGCAGAAATAAGTCTTCACTGCTAAGCCATGCCCAGATCGTTGTTTCTTTCTCAGAAGACCTCATGGTAATCTCATGGGACAGACTGAAACACTTCCCTGCCAACTGAGGCATGCTCTCCCACTAGGCTCTCAGGGTACCTCAGCAAATGTGGAGCAACTCTCACCGTGAAAACAAGACTGGCACTGCATGGGACCTTTAGCCACTACTATTACGAACAGCTGTTCCTTTTGAATACTCAATGCCCTTTACTCACTTCTGGTAATATCATTCTTTTTCCTGGTCTTCTCTGATTGAGGTGTTCTGGTGAAGCTGGTGAAGCTGCCAAACACAAACCCTTCCTGGTGGTAGCTACAATCCCTTCTTGCTTTCAATTGCTCCACTCCATACTTTCCCATTCTCCATTGCAGATGCCTGAATGACCAGAAGGGTGAACACAGGGTCAGTTCTAGGCCTATCAGAGTCCACTGTATGGATTTGCTAAAATTTACCAACCAGTCTCATATTGATGATACGGTCCATTTAGGTTCTTTCTAGTTTGATGGTTTGTTTTCACTATCCCTCTCCATATATATATATATATATATATATATATATATATATATATATAACATACACACATATATTTTAGAAATAAAATTTCTGGGTGAAATGTATATTTAAAATGTGATAATAGGGGCACCTGGGCGGCTCAGTCCTTAAGCATCTGCCTTCAGCTCAGGTCCTGATTCCAGGGTCCTGGGATAGAGCTCCACGGGAAGCCTGCTTCTCCCTGTCCCGCTCCTGCTTGTGTTTCCTCTCTGGCTGTTTCTCTCTCTGTCAAATAAAATCTTAAAAAATATTTAAAAAAAAAAAGTGATAATATTGTCAATAGCCCTACAAAAATTTTTTGTGCCAGTTTACACTGTTTAACTGTGATTAATCATGTCTGCTTGCCCGCATTAACCCTTTACGTGTCAAATTTGTCAGTCTACACCAATATGACAAGTACAAATATGTGATGTTATTTTAGTTTGTATTCTTTTAATGATAAAAGCATATGTTCACATTTATTATATGTATACATATTTTTAAAAATTTCATTTTTAAAATTTCATTTATTTTTCCTGCAATTTGAGGCTGAAGCTCTCAAAAATAAGATATGAATTACATCAGAAAAGTTCTGAATGGATAAAGAAGATGTGGTTCACATATACAGTGGAATATTATTCAGCTATCAGGATGAATACCATTTACACTGACATGGAGGAACTCTAGGATATTATGCTGAGTGAAGTAAGTCAGTCAGAGAAAGAATTATTATATGGTTTCACTCATGTGGAATATAAGAAATAGCGCAGAGGATCATAGGGGAAGGTAGGGAAAACAGAATGGGAAGAAATCAGAGAAGGAGATAAAGCATGAGAGACTCTTGACTCTGGGAAACAAACTGAGGGTTGCAGAAGGGGAGGTGGGTGGGGGGATGGGGTAACTGGGTGATGGGCATGAAGGAGAGCACGTGATGTGATGAGCACAGTATTATACATAACTAATGAATCAATGAACACTGCATCAAAAACTTATGATGTACTGTATGTTGGCTAATTGAATTCAAATTTAAAAAAAGTTCTTATCACATATGATTATATTATTGTTAATATCAACCCAGTTTTTGTTCCTTTGCTGGTATCTTGTTTTTCCATTTGGAAGCTTATGGGATTTTCCTTTTCTTAGAGGTCAGAATTTTCACCACGACTGGATTTCTCTCTTAAGTTTTCTCTCATAACTTTCTTTTTTCTTTTTGTTCTACATTATTGGGAACTTCCAAACTAAGTCTTTCAAAGACAAATTGGAATTTTTTTTTTTTAATTTTTAAGTCATCTCTACACCCAACATGGGGCTCAAACTCACAACCCAAAATCAAGAGTCGCGTGCTCTACCAACTGAGCTAGCCAGGTGCCCTGATAAATTGGAATTGTACAGTTAAAATTTGTGTACTTTGGTAGGGCTCAGGGGAAGGTAGGGATGAATAGGTGGAGCACAGAGGATGTTTAGGGGACTGAAACTACTCTGTATACGAAAATGGTAATTACTTGTCATAATATATTTGTCCAAACCCAAGAGTCAGCCCTGATGTAAACTATGGGCTTTGGGTGGTAATGATGTGTCAGTGTAGGTTCATCAGTTGTAACAAATGTACCACTCTGATGGGGGATGTTGTTAATGGGTGAGGCTATGCATGAGTGGGGACAAGAATATATGGGAAATCTCTGTACTTTCTGCTCAATTTTGCTATGAACCTAAAATAAATTTTAAAAATAAGGCTATTTTAAAATATGTGAATTCTATCTCATTAAAAAGAAGGACTGTAGAAAATTATTTGCATGGGGATTGGGGGTGGTGGAAGCTTGCTGAATTAAGAACATCAGATTATCAATGACTCAAAACTGATGGGTTTATTGGGGGATCATCTTACCAGTCTTGTTTATTTTGTATATATTCAAAATTCTCCGTAACGAAGAAAAACAAACAAAAAATAAATTGGTTAATAACCATTAATACTTCTATTCGGTCCGTTTCAGAAAACAAAAACAAAAGCAGAGAGAGAAACAGAGTTTTACTGGAAGGATATTGATGGCCTCCCAGAATCAGTAAAAAGATGGAGGAACTGGCCTAGCAAAAACACAGGAACTATAGCTCAAGGCTAGACAGAAGGTGTTACAGCTATGGGTTATAGGAAATTTGCCAAAAAAACCTCCTCTGGCAGGCCTTTGATCTCTGAACTTGAAGTTTTTCCTGGGCTCCGTTACAAAAATGAACACCACCATCTAGTGGCCCTTTCCTACACCTATGTGTGGGTGCAGATTTCTTGACTGGTTTTCCAGCTCACTATCATCTGAATTATATCTTCTATATATCCCTCAGAATTTTTTCATTGCTTTTTTTGGGGGGTGGGGAAACAATCAGGTTTATTGTATAATTTATAGAAGTAAAATTTTACTTTACAGTTCTGTAAGTTTTGATAAATACAAACTGTTTTGACAAATATTTATGTAACCACCACCACAATCAAAATATGGAAGTTTCATCACTCCAAAAAGTCTTTTGCGCTCATTTGAAGACAATCTCTCCACCCATCCTCCAGTCCCCAAGCCCCCACTGATCTGTTTTCTCTCCCTAGTTTTGCTTTTCTAAAATGTCATATAAATAGAATCATATAATATGTAGCCTTTTGAGTCTGACCTCTTTCAGTTAGCAAAGTGCATTGAAATTGTCGCTTGTATTGATAGTTCTCCCCTCTCCTCACCCCCTTTTTGTGTTTTGACTGAGTAGTATTTTGTTGTATGGATTACCAGCATGTGTTTATTATCCATTCACTAGTCCAAGGACATATGGATTATTTCCAGTTTTGGCAGTTATGAATGAAGTCACTATAAATACTGTGTACAGGTGTTTGTGTAAACATGTTTTCATTTCTCTTGGGCAATTACCTAGAATAGGATTGCTGAGTTGTGTGATATGTGTATATTTTAACTTTCTAAGAAACTGCCAGAATGTTTTCTAAAGTGGTTGTGCCATTTTATACTCCAACCAGCAACACTTTTTTTTCTCCTCATGACATCTTACATGGTTTTCCAATATTGCCATGTTTTACTCCTAAATTTTTTCTTCTGTGATTTTGTGGGATTTTTAGAAGATTGGGAAGATGATACCAAAATATTTTAAGTAACATACTATGTTTATTAATTATTTGTAGTGACTAATTTTTGAATTTTTTTTTTTAAGATTTATTTATTTGACAGAGACACATAGAGAGCAGGAACACAAGCATGGGGAGTGGGAGAGGAGAAGCAGGCCTCCCACGGAGCAGGGAGCCCGATGTGGGGCTCAATCCCAGGACTCTGGGATCATGACCTAAGCCAAAGGCAGACGCTTAACAACTGAGCCACCCAGGTGCCCCTAATTTTTGAATTTTATCTCTCCCTTTCATGATTGGGGTCTTGATGTTGTTTGTTTTCATTTTAATTCTGTTTTAGAGAGTCACATATCTGTTATTTTTCTGTAAAAATTTCCCCATATCTTGTCATGTTTTAATGTACATGGTTTTCAAAATAAGGACAGAGTACATAATGCTTTAGTGAATCATTTCACAATCATATATTGGGTACTCACAATGTGCTAGTCGTGGGACCATATTCTGAAAATAACCAATATTTTTTTATGGTGCTTTAACATTTAAAAAGTGCTTTCATACATATTATTTAATTCTATGAAGGTAAAAAGAAATACAACCACCCACAACCAAACATTCTTTGTGTGTGTGTGTGTGTGTGTGTGTACAGAGAGAAATATGAGAATGAATGATAGGACAGACAAAAGATGAGTTTAACTGGCTAAGAGATGGAGAAAGTTGGAGAAAGAGGTAACAAATGTGTGAGGGGGAGGTTGGGAAGTGGAGAAAGGAAGGACATTCAGTGAGTACTAGATTGGGTTACCATGTTTGTCCCACCCTGAAATTCCCTTGGGTATCCTTACAATGTCTCTTCACATTTTTTATGGTCTTTGGAAATGCTAATTAACTGGTTACCTACCTTTTCCGACAAGTTATTCCCAGAGAGAGAATTTTACTTTGGGCAACTAACACTACCAATAAGGCAAGAAATCTTAGATAAAACGGGAGTAGGTATGGAAAGGCAAACTTGGTGAAGTCTCTCATTTCAGGAAAAGTGTCTATTCTTGTAACATGTCCTAAGTAAAGTGGGGTCATGCTGCTTTTTTCTAGTCACCTCAAATTTGTGGTATCTTGGTTGAACTGAGGCTCTGAATGCAGAGCTGATTCCTAGGAAGAGGTCAAAATAAAAACATAAAACTATTGGTTACAAATTGAGCTTTGCATTTGTATAAGTATTATTTTTTTTTAAGATTATTTATTTATTTATTTGACAGAGAGAGAGCACAAGTAGGCAGAGTAGCAGGCAGAGGGAGAGGGAGAAGCAGGCTCCCCGTCGAGCAAGGAGCCCGATGCGGGGCTTGATGCAGGGCTTGATCCCAGGACCCTGGGATCATGACCCGAGCCGAAGGCAGTTGCTTAACCAACTGAGCCACCCAGGCACCCCGCATTTGTATAAGTATTATGATGCCTGTTGCCAGAATACTAAATTCATGGATGTTATGTGAATATAGGTAAAATTAATATATGCAATTTTAATATATTAATATATGAAATATATGAAAACAGCTTAAAATCCTAAACTTAAAAATTCCATGGAGGGGTGCCTGGTGGCTCAGTCAATTAATCATCTGCTTTCAGCTCAGGTCATGATCCCAGGGTCCTGGGACCCAGCCCTGCACTGGGCTCCCTGCTTAGCATGAAGTCTTCTCCCTCTCCCTTTGCTCCTTCCCCCGCTCATCCTCTCTCTGTCTCTCTCATTAAATAAGTAAAATCTTTTAAAGAAATTAAAAAATTAAAAACTCCATGGAAAGTGTTATCATTACTTGTGCAAAAACAGAAAGCATACCGCATTCAAAACCCGGAGGACTTCATTTTCTTCACCCTCACTGCAAGCTGTTTTATGAGTTACTGTGTTTCATTCTTTTATTTTTTATTTTTAATACACAAATACTCCAACAGCAATATTACTCACAACAGCCAAAAGGTGGCAGCCACCCAAATGTCCATGGACAGATGGATGGATAAATAAAATGTGATACATACACACAATAGAGTATTATTCAGGCTTAAAAAGGAAGGAAATCCTGTCTCAGGTTATAGCATGGATGAACCTTGAGGACATTATGCTAAGTGAAATAAACCAGTTATAAAAAGACAAATACTGTATGATTTCACTTATATGAGGTATCTAAAGCTGTCACATTCATAGAAATAGAAAATGGAATGGTGGCCACCAGGGCTGAGAGAGGGGGAAATGAAGAATTGTTCAAGTTTTGCAAGATGAAATATAGAGATCTGCTGTATACAATGTGAATATACTTAGCACTACTGAACTGTTCACTTAAAAATGGCTAAGATGGTAAATTTTCCATCACATGTTTTTACCACAATTAAATACATTACATAAATACCCAGTGAATTTATACCCATGAATTTTGTAAAGGAATACCAGTTTAAAAAATCCATCAAAATTATAGCACTGCAAACAGATGGAAGAAACAGTGGTAATAGGGCCATTACTGTTTTAATATATACCCAGTGATAATTGTGGCTTTAAAGATTATTTGGCAAAGTGTATTTTGAATGCTTAATGAACAATGAAAAGGCTAGAGCCAGTTGGCCTAGGTTTGAATCTCAGTCCTCTGGTTTACTGGCTGTATAACCTTATGCTAGTTAATTTCTCTCTCAGTTTTCTCAATCATGAAAAGATGCCAAGGGGATAATGATAGTACCCATGTCATAAGATCATTGTATTAAATGTGCTCATATATGTAATAATTTACAATAGTGCCTTGGCACATGAAGTGTTCTATCAGGTTTATTCAATGGTCTTCTGCTTCAATAAAACAGGATATTTAAAAATAGGAATGTATCATATATGGGTGGTTATTTTTATCATATAATTGTTCTTTTATGAAAGGATTAACTGCAAGATTTTTTAAAAAGTTTATTAATTTATTTGAGAGAGAGTGAGAGAGCAAGAGAGAGCACACAGAGGGAGAGGGAGAAACAGACGCCCCGCTGAGCAGGGAGCCTGATGCAGGGCCCGATACCACGCCCCTGAGATCATGACCTGAGCTGAAGGCAGAGGCTTAACTGACTAAGCCACCCAGGCACCTCTAACTGCAAGATTTTTAAACAATGAGATTTTATGGTGTATATTATCTTTTAAAATTTTGACGTGATTTCAAACTTATAGCAAAGTTGCAATAACTATACAAAGAGCTCCCATATACCCTTCACTTACAGAGGGCCTTCAAGTTTTTCCCATTATCCTATGATACCCTTTATAGCAAGAGGATTCAATCCAGGAGGATGTATTTACTCAGCTATCATATCTCTACTCTCCTTCAATCTCAAACAGTTCCTTAGCCCTCCTGTGACCTTCATTTTCTAAGATTACTGTGCTAATTGTATTTTTCTGAGCATTGCACCACATTTCCAGTTCCACATGCTCTTCTAGAATTCTGTCATCTAATCTAGACAAACCCTGTGCCTCGGTTCATGAACAGAATATAGAGAAGTGGACCTGTGTAACTTATGAGGCTAGGTTAGAAAGGCCATACAACTGCTACCTGGCTCTCTTTCACACCCAGACACATATACACACTCCCTGGGATTCCTGAGCTGACATATAGAAAAATCCAGTTACCCTGAGGCTGTGGTGATGAAGAGACCATAGAGAAGTAGACATGTCAAAGGAGCTGCAGCTGTTCCAACCCTCAGCTGTGTGAGTCTTCCAGATCAGGTGTCATTCATGTGAGTGCAAAAGTCTTCACATGATTCTAGCTCCCAGCCTTTGAGCCACTCTAGGTGAGGCCTAGTGGAGCCAGGCTCTGGGCTGGACCAGCTGACAGCTTAGAACTGAGAAGAGCTATCCCCGCTGAACCTTGTCCAAATTGTAGCAAAATAGTGTTGTTTTAAGCCACTAGGTTTTAGGGTGTTTGTTACAAACCAGTAGATAACTGGAACAATTGTAGACCTGTTATTTTGTGGAATGTTCCTCCATTTGGGTTTGCCTGATGTTTACTCACAGTTGGGTTATATATTAGGCAAGACCACTGAAGTAATTCTGTGCTTGGCTCACTGCATCCATCAGATAATGTATGATGTTGATTTGTTCCACTACTGTTGATGTTAACTTGGATCACTTGAATAAGGATGTGCCTTCAGGTTTCTCCACAATAAAATTACTCTTTTTTTCGTGTATGATTATTTTGTAGAGAGATACTCTGAGACAATGTAAATAAAACCTGTTCTTGATCTATCTTTCATCTGTAAGTTTTGCCATCCATTGATGTTTCTTGCCTGAATTTATTATTTCTATGAGGGTTGCAAAATGATGATTTTATAATTCAATTATTCCTTTGACTTTTATTAGTTGACATTGTATTACAAGGAAGGGTTTTCTATTTAATCATCCATTTATTTATATCATCAAAGATTGATGGGCCCCTAATCTAATCAGTGGATGTGATTTGTTTACCATCACTTTTATTTTGATATATTATCCCAGATTTGGCTAGTAAAAGTCCTTTCAAACTGACTTCTGTATCCCTCTGACATGTCCCCATTCTTCTCTGAATACTTCCTTACTTCCTGGCCCAAAAAGATGTTCCTGGTCATCCTGTCCCTGCTTTGCCCCCGAAATCAGCCTTTTCTCCAAGAAAACATGGTTCCTCTTGTTGGAGAATAGTATTTAGAAACAGTATCTGGTGGCTTCTCGGGCTTTTCTGTGGACAGAGACAAGTAAATACAGTAGAGGGTAGTGAGTACTAATGAAAGGGAAAGGGATGTGGGAGGGAGCACAAAAAAGGAAAAGACATCTAACCTAAGGCTTAAGAATTTTGGGGAGGGGAACAGAAATATTCTAGACAGGAGATATTTATGTGCAAAAGGCCTGAGTCAAGAGAGAATATGTCATGTTTAAGGAACTAAAGCAGTATGGCTAGAGTAGAGTGAGGGGGCAGCAGTAAGAGAGCAGGAAACAAGGTAAACAGGGGATAGCCAAATCTCAAGACAAGGACCAAATGAACAATGTTAAAAGTTTTAACTTTATCCTGAGAGCAACGGAGAATTATTAAGAAGATTCCAAGCAAGAGATATATGATCAAAAATCATTTTTTAAAAGATTTTATTTATTTATTTGAGAAAGAGTGAGACAGCATGAGCAGGAGGGGCAGAGAGGGAGGGAGAGAGAGAATCTTAAGCAGACTCCACACAGCATGGAGCCCAATGCAGGGCTTGATCCCATGACCCTGAGATCATGACCTGAGCCGAAACAAAGACTCAGATGCTTAACTGACTGAGCCACCCAGGCGCCCCCCAAAATCATTTTAGAACAGTTGTCTTCAATTAAAAAAGAAACAATTCACATACCATCCTAAAAGGATTTTGAAATACTATATACTTCCTCCCACATTGGGATTAAGTTGGCATCTAATATTTTTTATAAGCTTTAAAGTTAATTTTTTTAATGGGAAGTTTAAAATATTTTACAGTTTGAAAGATGAAATGACCTTTGATTATACCTGAAGTATTTTATGATATGATACTCACCAAATCTGAAAAGTCATGTGAAATTTCTATCTGTGGATTTTATCAAATGTTATCTAAAAAATGTGTTGGTCTCAGAAACCACAAAATTACATTAATAAATATCAACATCACTAGTCTATATTGCCTAAGTTGTTCTGAATTTAGGGCAATTTTCACCCTTAACAAAACTGCGTATGAGACAGGTAAAGGACTTACAGGTTTAAGATTATTCAACTACTCATTAAGAGAGGTTTCCAGACTTCCCCTTTTGCCAAAGATGCAGTAACAGGAACTGGATTTACCCTCTTGCTGAAACAACAACAATAACAACAACAAAAATCAGACAAAATATATGAAACAATGGTTTTGAAATACTGAATATCAAGCATTAAAGGACAGAGATGAGCCCTTCAATTGCCCCAGCTTACTGCCTTGAGAATCTCTATAGACATAAACTTAACAGTATTAATAAACACATTAAATATAAATGGTCTAAATACT